TTAAAATACGTATTCCCTGCTTAAAGGTAGCAGAGAGCAGCGATATTTCAGAAACGGTTTAAAATCGTTGCTTTTAATATTTCGCAGAATTATTTTATTCCATCGCGCAATATTATTTATTTCCATAATATTTTATTTCCATCAGCTTAACTGCTCATTAAAAACGGAAAAAGAGAAGAACGGACGAAAGATGGTATTATCGAAAACGAACAGAATGAAAACTCTGGTCTTTCTTGATTCGTATTATTTGCGATTATTGCCAATTGCAAGCGACAGAGGTCGCGCGCCGTTCAGGAAATTAAAAGATCGAAGAATCCACGCCACACCATTAGGTCGTGCGTCCCTAATGAAGCTTGAAATGAATGCGCATGGCATTGATCATAGGCGGATTAAAAGCGAATAGAGGTCGGCGAATAGATTGCAAATCTGGATCCGAACCACCTCCACTGACTACGTTAAATGGAGTTATGGTCGTACGACACGTTCAACCAAACAAAATAGTTGGTAAGTTGATGTTTGCATCGATGATTAAATGAATTTATCTATCTCTATGGAGCTAAATGCACAGCGAAAAGTGTTTCCCAACGAATAGAAATTTTGGAAATCACAATACGCTTAATAAAAACACAGACGATTAAGCGGAAAATATGCATATTTCGCACTAGCGGATGTGATTAAACATAATTGGAGATAAAGTTATTATTGGGCGTTTCTCGATCGTTCCCTTTTCAATTAATTTTTTGATACCGCGCGTCCGACGATTTGGTTGACAATTTAACGTTAATACGACATCGATTAACTTAGGCGTTGATTTGGTAATTTTTATTTTTTTCAAATTTTATCATAGATTTCTGTTGTTGGGACGCTCGGTCACCTATATCGGCATTTCAATTTTATGTATTTTAGAAATTCGTACAATGTATTTACAATATATTTTCATATTTACTCCAAATGAGTTATTCTGAACACGATCCTCGATTATAATTACTAAAGAAGATAATAAATAAATAAATAAATGATAGACAAGTTTGTTCAGAAAAAATAATCTTATCATTGTACAATGATACATTACAAGATTATTTGTACAGAAAAGATGATGTAAAAATATATTGATTATGAAGAAATCCGTGCTCCGAACGAATTTTCAAGAAAATAGTTGGTCGCCCTTTTCTTACAACATCTATGTATATAGCAGCGATTACGACTATGTTTCAGCATTCTACGACCCTCATAATAGTACGTATTAACGTCGCATTTTCGTAATCGTTTTGAATCTTTATGGCCAACAATCGGAATTTATAGTCTTTTGCAAGATTACCTTATTTTACTGTTCACAGTTACAACTACGTTTCCATATCGTGTGCGTGTAACGTAATGGCACGAAATCAGGAATAATGTCATTTTAAAACGTTCGCCATTTTATGGCACAGTATCGTAATCAGTTACGTTCATATTTTCAATTTCAAATTACTTTTTCATATTACAGATACTTATCTTATCACGAAATTTCACTTCATAAAATTGCTAATTTTTACTTTATATTTCTTGCAAAACATACCTTCGAAAGTGCTACAATCGCAGATTACCTTTACTCTGATTATACGTAATTATCAATGTTTATACGTGCATAAAGTTTAAGCGTGATATTACACAAGCGCATAGATTTTAATGAACGAATGCTGTTTGGACAATATTCGATGTATACGCTGGTCGAAAATTCGCGCGTTTACAATGTCGAACAGTTCACAACATGCATTTTCATTAATAGCAAATTTTATCTTTTACCGAACTCGCCGTTTTATTTATCGATCAACAATTTCGCAGGTTTTCATTCGATTCTAAGCTAACAGAATATCCCGGTTAAACAACGCGATTGAGCGTAAAATTAGCGAGCATATTTATCGAAACGTTTATCCGGTGTACCGATAGGAATCTCATAATAACAATAATGGTAATAAATCACGATCGAGTTTAGCGAACAGAGGAAGATCAAACAAAATCTGACATTTCCACGTGCACATAATTATAAATAAAATTATATTAAAAAAGGTATAAATTAAATTAAAAAAGGTTCTTTGATAGCGATCCTCTGAATATTCGCATAAACATTTTATATCTCATATACGATAATAATTTTGTTTGATATATGTACGATAGTTAACAGATCGAATCGAAATAAATTTAGGAAGAGTTTGTGCAACTGATTAATATGCGGCTAAATGTAATCCAGCGTTTAATGTTATGCAGAATATTTATTTTATCGATACGGTGATGGATATTGTATATAAGTCGAGTAACAGACCCATTTATTAAGTTCGTTAAGTGTTATACTTTCAGACGAAATCGATCTAATCAAAAAGTTATTTATTTATCTCGCGTCTCCATAAATACGTATCTTCTGTCGAAACATTCAAATATACACGTACTTTTATATTCTACAAATAATTGTTATAATATACTTTGAAATTTATATTACTCGCGACAGATAAATAAATTTATTTTCTAATCTAATAGAAGGTTCCATTGGGTCATCGTCTCGTGACCTCTTGGAAACTATAGAGAAGATGTATGACAAGATAATTTGTTACCGTGTCGTGGAAAAAATGAAATTCCATAAATTAATACGTATCTTCTATCGAAAGATTCGAATATACGCGCACTTTTATATTCTACAAATAATTGTTATAATATACTTTGAAATTTATATTACTCGCGACAGATAAATAAATTTATTTTCTAATCTAATAGAAGGTTCCATTGGGTCATCGTCTCGTGACCTCTTGGAAACTATACAGAAGATGTATGACGAGATAATTTGCTGCCGTGTCGTGGAAAAAATGAAATTGCATAAATTAAAAATTGCAAATACATAGTTATTTTAAGCTACGTCTTTCTCAGAAACTTTGACATCTTTGGCCAATCAATGTTAGATAAGCGCATTTTTATTTCTCTTCCACGGTGATTCCTTCTTTTTAATTAAAAGCTGCAGGGAGGTCAGGGTGTAACATCTGACCGCACGAACCGTATTCAGATATGGTTTGCGGCCACTCGAGTAATTTCGTTGAGCGGCCAGCCGATAGTTTATGCAGGCTGCATGGGGATTCTAATTGCTCCGATAAAGAATGGAACGTTCGGTGAATTTTGAAAGACTTTCATTAAAGTTCGCTGAACTGCCAACGCCGGTTGCCACGGCGTGTGTGACCTAATTGGTTATAGATATGACAGAATCCATGAATTTTAAATAGCCCATGGTTCGGAAACTCGCACCCCAACCACCGGATCTTGCTCGCCTTTCGATCAAGTTCCGCCGGATCAAGTCGATAAATCGATTCGAGCAAGCGTGCCCTCGTTAATGCGTTCACTGTCATACAGAAGCGACTTCCTTCTCGTCAATTTCGTGTGTCAACGGAAACAGTTTGACACGGTCGCGATAAAACGATGACGTACTCGGTTTTCTCACCTATCGATGTTCGTTTTAAAAGCCGAAATTTTTATTCCGCTACATCATCGTGCTGCCACTTGATTTACAGTGGCTCGCAAAAGTATTCAGACATTCCTACAAACTTTTCGCGCATATATTATACAGAACATTTGGAAATTTCACTACCACTGTAACGTGTATCGCGATTGTATTGGTAACGTTTGAAACGGATCTGAAGATATATACAAAAGTTAAAAGATTCTTGAAACAAGTCTTGAAATATTTGTCTCAGCCACTGTATTCTTGCATCCAAGCTGAGAAATTTTATCCAATGTTTAACTGCTTCACGATATTTTTTTCTAATGTATTATAAATTATAATATATTCCTGTCATCGATTTGTCAGTTTTTATTCTTTAACGCGATCTTCAACGCGAAGGACGAAGTGGATTAATTATTTTCCTATTGCGTATTTTGCTTTTTTCCGTACAGAATAATTTACGCTCCTAGTGTTTACTATCCATGAATAGCACACGATGCAAGTTTTTAATATTTAATACCGTCGATATTTATTTTTGATCTAGATCGTTGTTGATCTAGAGAAGAATAATTTATAAGGGATGGAACGGAGAACAGAGGGAAGCGTTGTGCTGCTTGTGCAAACATTTTCTTCTACGTAGTTGAGCATTATTCCTTCCCATCTTAAATAATAATGAGCAGCGACGTTCCTAGTTCATTACAGAATTATAGGAACGGCATAAAGTTTCCTCCCGAGATTGGGCCACTTTTCACGGCGTTTTGATCTTTGTAAACGTGAATTTCCTGACGTAAACTTCCGACGACGTTGTTAGATCGCGAACGTGATTGTTAAGGTTTGTTAAGGGAGCGTGCAAGTGAGCTTTTGTCTCGTGCAACTTAAATTACAATCGCAATAACAAACGCATCGAAGTTTTCGAAAGATAATTTCATCAACCTTCGCAAATGCAACGTCGATACATTGTTTGAAATTTCATTTAATTAATACGTTCACTGCCATTCGAATTTTATATGTTTTGCCTTCAGAGTCGCCATATAAATAACAATGTTATTTTAATCGTTGTACAAAATTTCGCAACATGGGTCACCAATAACCATCGTGGCAGCAAATATGTAAATAGAATAAAAATTCGTAAATCTCCGTGTTTCTTTCCTATTTTACGAGTAAATTAAGAAAAAAGGAAACATTCTCTTACTTGAATGATTCTATCTATAACGCTGTTATAATTCTGTCACCTTACCTTTTTTTAAATAATTATTACTTTTTCCTCTGTCGTTTAACATACTTCGCTATCCGTCAAAACAGAAAGCACGTACTCTCGGGACAGAATTAAAGAATTCAATCGTATCCTCGTTCCCATAAACTCTCAGCTACCATAAATCCAACCTTACGGATTTTCATGAACCCGGTGAAGCTAAATTACAACGCAAGGATAATTTCGATGCCGATGCCCGATAATATCCAGGAATTTCGAACGAAATTATATCTAGAGCCGGCGGTGAAATCAATTTCTGTGCCATTAAATCGTATGTTCGAGGCTCACCTGATTCCTCCACGGGTAGTGTCGTAATTCAGCGTGCGGGATCCGTGCCGCCACGTAACATATCCGGTAGGCTGCGGTATATTGCTGACCACACACTTCAATTCTATCGTGCTGCCCGCTTTGTAGAATTTGTCACCAGCCGTGGCACCGTGCTCGTCTACGATCTCAACCTTCGGCACTGAAACAGACATCGGTCCATTTTTGCCATTAGCATTTTTACCCCGCTTCACACGCCATTACTTGTCATCGAACAACATCGGTTATCATCGCGTTCTATCTATTTACCTTAGAAAAGTTACTGCGATTTTCTATTTCGATGAGAAAAGTGGATCGCGTAGAGTATTTTTAATTGACATTTATACAAATGGAACCGATTCGTCCGAAAAGTTTCTTTCGTTTTATAAGGAAATAATGGGTGCACGTTTTCTGTTATTTTATCGAATAACGTATGATTCATTTTGTTCTATCAAAATAAAGATCACAACGTTTGACAGATTAAGTTTATTAGGTTATTCGGTTAGGTGTCTGTAAAAGAAAGACATTACACGTGTGAGTCAAAATAAATGTAAATTTATTATCGGTAATATTGACTATTTGCCCATGCAAAGTACACGTCACAAGTACATTTGTGACGATCCACGAACAGGATGATGGTGTTTAATCCGCGCACAGTGGACAATTAAACGTTATTGACAGCCTTTCCATATGGTTTTCATTATAATTTTGAAAATCTTGATACAACTGATAGATGAAACTTATTATGCGACGATACGACGAACATCCGAAAACAATTTCTTCCCAAATACTCTAAATTTAAAACGTTCGAGTATCCCGTAAGATCCTAAAAACTTTTTCGAAATTTCCTAACGAGATCCTCGCGAAACTAGGAGAAAAAGCTTGCTCACGTCGCGGGCGCACGTCGCAAGTTGGCGGAAAAATAACTTGTTTCTTCAGTCATCGGTTCGTTTCAGATCCAGCTCCGCGTAAGAAACGTGCCGGGAACTGCTAACTGCGAACAGGAGGAATTGCTGAAATTTCTCACGGCCTGCAAGCGTTACCCCCCTTGTTGGAAACAAGCCACGAAAAAATCCTCCTACCCCATCGACGTCGCGTGCAACAGTCGTGGAACAATAAGTTTCCAGCCGAGGTCCGCGAAGATGGATGCAAACGACGGAAAGACTGATCTCGTTCCCGTGAACCCTTTTAACTCGTCGCGGCCTGGCGTTTCGGGCTGTAACCTTCCTTGCAGGACGCGAGACTTCGAAATCGCGATCGTTCGAGCATCTGTTGCGGTTCCCAGAACCTCTTCTACCTTAATTACCCTCGTATAGCGGCGTCAAAATATTACGGTTCGTTTAAAGCTTCTTTTCGTTAAGTTTCGTATGGTTCGTTAAAGAAGATCTGAATGCTAGTTTTAAACTCGAACGATTAGTAGCAAATTTTTAAGCGCATCTTTTTTGTTTTTCTTTTCTGCTTCTTTGTCAATTGTATAGAATATGTATTATGTGTGTTAAAATTAAAGGGTTGTTAGTGAATGTTCAAAGGCTAGTTTAATATCAGAGTGGAGAAACTTATCGAACCGGAAACTTGGTTATAATAATATTGAAATAAACACGCAAAGGGAGAGTTTGCCTTGGTAAATATGTGAATTTCGAAGTGAATTAGATTGGAATCGACATATGGAGAATCAAAGGCGACCAGGTTTCGATATCAGGCAAAATAATATCCGAATCGATGTTTCGAATTTCAGCGAATAGTTTTACATTTCGGCTGGTGTGTAAACAAAATTCATCGTTGGAGCAACTACAGGCAAAATGTGTATCTTAAAATTAAACGGACGAAGCCATTAAGATAAATCATACGAACGTGTAGTTGTTTGCTAACGATACATATGTATTACAAACTTATCACCGTAATTCTACGTATAGATTCACGCTTATTAGTCTGGTTGCGAATGAACGTAATTTAAAGCGAAGAGCTGTGTCTTCTTCTCGAACGGTGAAGTTGTAAATTCTCGAAGTTGAAGAAGTAAATACGTACCTCCTGTTAGCAGTTAGTAGTTCATATCGACAGTGTTCGACGTTACAACGGTATATGGAAGCAAATTTAACCCACTTACGTCTAACAGGACAGGCTTCGAATAAAATTCTCACAATTCCGTTTATGCGTCGAACCAGTGACATTTCGATGCAATTTCGTATTCGACAACCTTTCAGTTCCATTTACAATGCACATATTCAAGCGCAACTCACGCGCAAGAAAAAATATCCTATTAATACTTGTATCGTGAACAATTAATATTGTTATGCCTTTTCAGAATACAGAAAAGTTGTCGGAATTATCTTAGCTTATAAAGAACAAAAGAACAAATTCCTCCGCGTTTTCTTCTTTCTCCAATTGCTGCAGATCCAACCGTAGTCATCAACTTCGGATGATAGATGATCTAATCTTCTCAACGATTCTTTCTCATTTCAATTCTATCCGTTTTATTCGCTCGATCTCGTGTACCGATTTACTACCGGCAATATCTTTTATTTGAAATATTCGAATATACATTGCACATATAACTGCGGCGGAAGAGTATGAAAAACTTTGCTTTCGCAGCGAAAGAATCTCTACACTTTCAAGCTCTCGAGCTTCGCGTTTAGTGACAGATTAATGCTGTATATTATTTGATTCTTTTTCTATTTTTCGACGCGGGTACATTTGAATTTACGGCTCTATGTAGAGAATATATACCAGCGTCGCAATATGGTTTGTGTCTTATTTCAAACTACCTTCGTTGTGTTCGCAAGCTGTTTCACTCGCACGATTTAAATCGCTTTCAAACGAATATTTCTTTTTCGATTAAAACAGGATATCATGCATTACAATTAGTTTCGTGGAACAGTATGTTCATAAGGTAATTTCGTGCGATATAATGTATAGGTAATATGTGTTTGGTCTTATAAAAGCGTAGATAAATTATTGGAGAAGGAAGGAAGAAAAATTAATTTATCAAACTTGTTTCTCTTGCACTGTGTATAGCTCGTAAATCAGTTTCATTATGACACTCGCAGCTTCGATATATAATTCTTTGACAAGGTCGTTTCTCTTCCTACTAAATTGCAGATAGTATCGCTAAAATCATACTTACACTTCCTAACCATGTTTCAACTTTTAAAAAGCAAAATTTATCTTCTGCTCTCTCAAATATGTGATGCAATAATTTATTGTATCATTTTTCTCTACGATTACGCTATCCAACGAATAAAAATCTTTCCTAAAATTTGCAATCTCGAAAAAACACAAATTTTCTCTAAAAAATCATATATTAACGTAAAAGTGACTTTGCGTGAAAATGAAAAATGCTAGGAAATTCTCTTCTTCGAATACGTTGCTACGAAAAGTTATGTAGACGATTTATAGCTAATCGGCGAATCTTTGAGTTAGAGAGAAGTTCAAGTTCAACAAACGCAAGCCCTCTGGTTCAAGCTATGCGCAGAATTGAAACGAATTTACTCGATGACAAGACGATAAAATTGGATTGCAGACCGCCTCTTCCCAAATCCATTTCGATCTCAACGAACCTCGTTCGTGAGATTCACGATCACGAGAATAAGAATCCGTGGTCGTTTCGGACATTCTCTAGTGGGAAGAAAAAAAGTTCTTTCAGACGATTTTTCATGGCAACCAACGTATTTCCGGCAAACAGATAAATACAGGTACTTTACGGTATTGGGTTTCTTCAATAGGGACGGAATGTCCACAAGGATCTTCGATCGAAATCGAAGACAGCTACCCTAGCTGATTGCTAATCGACTTCGATCAACTGGTTCGCGAACATATTATATGGAACGTTGTGACCACGACAGCCTGAATAAATACACGCCATTTACTTTCGTAGCTTTCGGTTTGCTAAGGTCAAACTTTATTTCTGCCTTCTGAGGGATCGTTTCGATGTTTGTGTCGATAAAAGAGCAGCTCTAAGAAATAGTTTTTTAATCGAGAATTTATCGTGTAACTTCCGCTCGAAAATTTTCGAATATCTTCTATTCTTAATAAAACATTGTATTTGAACTATGAACTTCAAATTGCACGCATTTTTTAAATAGCATTGTTAGTGTATTAAAAAGTAGTATGTATAACAAATTAAATGAATTATCGTGACTTAACTTATCTGTTATTTTTGAAATTATGCGAATTTATATTTTTATCGACGTTACTGAAGACATGGTATCCCGCTGCGGGTAGCCATCCACGTGTTATTTAGCAATTAAGCTAGAAAAATTTACCGAATGTCCAGCTGGACAAATTGTAAAGTACAAAATTTAATCGAGAATTTATCGTGTAACTTCCACTCGAAAATTTTCGAATATCTTCTATTCTTAATAAAACATTGTATTTGAACTATGAACTTCAAATTGCACGCATTTTTTAAATAGGATTGTTAGTGTATTAAAAAGTGGCATGTATAACAAATTAAATGAATTATCGTGACTTAACTTATCTGTTATTTTTGAAATTATGCGAATTTATATTTTTATCGACGTTACTGAAGACATGGTATCCCGCTGCGGGTAGCCATCCACGTGTTATTTAGCAATTAAGCTAGAAAAATTTACCGAATGTCCAGCTGGACAAATTGTAAAGTACAAAATTTAATCGAGAATTTATCGTGTAACTTCCACTCGAAAATTTTCGAATATCTTCTATTCTTAATAAAACATTGTATTTGAACTATGAACTTCAAATTGCACGCATTTTTTAAATAGGATTGTTAGTGTATTAAAAAGTGGCATGTATAACAAATTAAATGAATTATCGTGACTTAACTTATCTGTTATTTTTGAAATTATGCGAATTTATATTTTTATCGACGTTACTGAAGACATGGTATCCCGCTGCGGGTAGCCATCCACGTGTTATTTAGCAATTAAGCTAGAAAAATTTACCGAATGTCTAGCTGGACAAATTGTAAAGTACAAATTAAATAATTAAACAAAGCTACTGAAGACAGAAGTTAAATAGAGATTCGTTTTACTTATTGAAAATTATAACGAGTACACATACAATCTCTTTCTTCTACTGTCACTTGTCGGATATTTTGTATATATCGTGGTATATGCATTTTGGCCATTTCTACATCCTTTAAATTTTATACAAATGCATACAGCTGCGCAGTCTGATAACAACTAT